TGAACAGAGTGAAAAAGATTTGACTCGAACAGGCGTGAATCGTGACACTGGACCTCACTGGTTCCTAAATGGCTGAAGAAAAAAGCTATTTGGGAGCTGATTACCTGGTCTCACCGTAATTTATACGGACCTGGGGTAAGTCCCTCACAGCAGGTGGGCGTGAACTAAAGTTTTCAGTGCTGCGCTGCGTGCAAATGGATAAACCCACTAGCGACTGCCTTAAAGGGCTGCATCTATACTCATAAAATCTGGGGTTACAGTACGTAACCAACGTTTTTGAATGATAAAAATATGCATAGAACGTTAATTATTACACAATTTAATAATTTATTTTGAGTGCAAATACAATTACCATGATATTTTTTTTTTAAAGAATTTATATTTCTTAAACATTTTTTTGTTCTGCTTAGCTTAAAACAGTACTAACAGAAAACAATAAGAACATTTGTGTAATAAGGCATTTAGTGCAAACATAAAGTTTGTAGGAAATTTGTAAACAAACACATTGTGCCTCAGAAGCCATGACTTTCCACGTGTAGTAAAAAGATAACTTGTAAACTAAAAAGGACAATGCTCCATCACTGGAGTCAGCCCATTTCTTCCATTTGTATCTATAGAGCTCGTGCTGCAGTAAGGAGTGGTTTGTTTTTCAGAGCCTAAGAGTAAAACTCTGAGCAAGACATTTCATCATTTAGGCTGACAATGAGCTCATTTCTAATTAGTTCAGAAGAACATTTGTTTTGCACATCAGTCCATTTATTTTTCATGAGAGAAAATCCATCCATCCATCCATTATCTTTACCCGTTTATTCCATTTTGGGTCACGGGGGTCGCTGGTGCCCATGTCCAGCAATCACTGTGCGAGGGGCGGGGTACACCCTGGACGGGTCGCAAGTCCATCACAGGGCCACATAGAGACACACGAGACAAACAACCATTCACTCTCACCCCTAGGGACAATTTAGAGTTACCAATCAGCCTAACATGCATGTTTTTGGTCTGTGGGAGGAAACCGGAGCACCCAGAGAAAACCCACGCATGCACGGAGAGAACATGCAAACTCCACCCAGAAAGGCCCTGGACCGGGGTTTGAACCAGGGACCTGCTCGCTGAGAGGCAGCAGCTCTACCAGTTGCGCCACCGTGCTGCCCTGAGAGAAAATCATTTCCACAAATCCAGTGGAAGATGAGATGAGGACAAAGATACAACAGCTGGATGTTGGGGAGGTCAGCTGCCTGAAGAACTTGATCCACCTCTGCTGTTCCCTTGGACTGACACCTTCTCCTGAGCTTCTGTGGTGAGGAGCTGCAGTCACACAGTCCTCATGAAGCTCATCCATAGACATGCTTAGCCTGCCAAAAGGAGGTAAAAGTTTTATTATCCGAGTTCACTAGAGACACAAAAGTCATGCACAGTGGTAAATAATTGGGAACAAATATTTGTTAATCTTTATAATTTTGCATCATATCCTAACTAACTTTTGAAATTACTTTAATATATCATATATACTGTTTAATTTTTTTAAAGATGCGTATAAGTATGCATATGTTTGTATACTGTTTGATTATGTATTTATTTCTATATATCAGTTGTATCCATTTGTATATAACTATCATTAAGAAAACATGGTTCATCTTTACCTCATTTGAGGCATCAGTGTGAAGAGAGGAGTGGGAGTGGGTTGCTTCCACTTTCAATTTTTGGACCACTTCTTCTATTGCATTTGGACACAGAACATCTTCAGGACATATTCTTGGCAATGCTGGAGTCATTCAGTGTTTGGAGAGTCAGCTTAAATCAGTCGGCTGAGTTGTAACTTAAAGTATGTTTCACAGTGTGGTATACTGTATATGGACTATCTCTGCAATCTGTAATCATAAACATAAGAAATACTATTTAAATTAATTTGTGTATTTTTTTATTTATCTATTTTATGTATTTTTTTATTCTTTTGTTTATCACAATAAAAATATATTTGGCCTTTAATGTTCACATTCATTGCACTTTTACACATTAAGCTTATGCTTTTATTATCCATCCATCCATCCATTTTCTTTACCCGTTTATTCCATTTTGGGTCACGGGGGTCGCTGGTGCCCATGTCCAGCAATCACTGTGCGAGGGGTGGGGGACACCCTGGACGGGTCGCAAGTCCATCACAGGGACACATAGAGACAAACGAGACAAACAACCATTCACTCTCTCATTCACACCTAGGAACAATTTAGAGTTACCAATCAGCCTAACATGCATGTTTTTGGACTGTGGGAGGAAACCGGAGCACCCGGAGAAAACCCACGCATGCACGGAGAGAACATGCAAACTCCACCCAGAAAGGCCCCTGGACCGGGGTTTGAACCAGGGACCTGCTCGCTGAGAGGCAGCAGCTCTACCAGTTGCGCCACCGTGCTGCGCTTTTATTATTATTATTATTATTTTACATACCATATCTGCCTCTGGCGTTGCCCGGTGGACAAATACTGGTCAAGGGTTCTCCTGGTTTTGTTGTCTTTCACATTTCTTATGTGTCCAGTGGTGGAAGCTGTTTAACATCAAATTGTCCACCATGGGCTACAGACAAAGTGTGCTAGCAGACAGTACTATGTGCTTTATATCCATTAGCGTGCACTCTTTCCAGCCATGTTTCCTTTTCCCACTTGATTCTGTATTTTTGCAGCTGTTTCTTTTTTTTCTGGGAGGAGAAGTCGGGTTATTGATGGAAGATGAACCGTGTGCAAAGTTTAAATCCTCTGAATTCCTGCCGCTCTGGTCCATGATGTCTTGTTGTCGAATCCTGTCTGTCGGTGGTTGTGATAAACAACAGGAGCTGGACCAATGAGATAAGCCAGATTCAGGGCTACGTGAGTAAGAATATTGCTCATTGGTCATAGAGAAGGAGAGAGCGAGAGTTAATTTACTGTAAAATCCCATATACAGCACCGAATCATTTACTAAGTCATGGACGTGTTTTTTGACTTTCATGATAATACGGGACAAAATGCGTCCCGTTGCAGCTCAATACGGAACGTGTACTTTTGTTTCTAAATACGGGACGATTCCGTTTTTTACGGGACGGTTGGCAACCTTAATTAGACAGACTAAGATACGACACAGCACCAAACCCAGCCTCACTGGCATCACAAAAGTGATGCAGCTGCGCACTTCTTATCTCCCCAAATCCTTTGGGTGTGATGTATCTTCTGACACTAAAAGTGTCAAGAAGAACTAAATCTTCAACCCATTTTTTCCAAACTTGTGCCATTTCTGTTGGAATTGTCTCATCCCAGCCCAACTTCAGTTTACATAGATGTTGAAGAATTTGCTTTGCAGGGAGAATGACTGGAGCTAAGAGACCCAAAGGGTCATAAATAGAGCTGACCCTGGACAGAACACCACGTCTTGTTAGTGGTTTGTGCTTGTTTACAATGCTAAAGGTGAAAACATCCTGTTCAACATCCCATTGCACCCCCAAGGCTCTTTCAGTGGGAAGCTGGTCCCGGCTAATGTCCAGCATCTTTACACGTTGCTCTGTTTTCCTCAGGTATCTTAGAGAGGACAGAGCGATCACTGCGTACACATTTATTGAGCTTAAATCCCCCCATTGCACACACCACTGTGAGCTGCTGATAAAGAGAGATGGCCTGCTCAACAGACTGAACAGACATAAGACAGTCATCTACATAGAAACTGTACCTGCTTGTATTTACCACCTCTTCTGGGTACATGTGTTGGTTGTCATCAGCAGTCTTTAATAATGCATATGTGGCACAACTGGGGGAGGACACTGCACCAAAAATGTGAACCAACATTCTATGCTCAACAAGCTCTTCTGTGATGTCACTGTCTGCCACCAGAGAAAACGTAATAATTTACATGTTCCTCAGCTACTCTGA